CCAGAAATAATGAGCCTTTAAATGATGCAAAAGTTGGCCTTTCCCAAAATGAAAGGTTGTAAATTAATAGCAAAGGGATGCAATGACAATGGAAACTGTAGGAAGCCATAAAGTTAAATCTCAGAAAGACAAGTTCAATTTCATAACTGAAGGCTGCTGATGATTTCTTCTCTCTCTCCTTGAATAATCAAATGCAAATGCCTTTTAGCAATGGCAGCATTCAAATCCCACAAAAAATCAAGCAGTGCCCCCTGAAGGAGAACTTCCATTGGCACAAACTGTAAAACTTGCTCGGGTGCATCAGACGTAAGCAAAGCACTCAACAATTCATTCATATTCTGCAGATACTGGAAAACTGGGTTTGGAAGGTCCCGGTAACCAACACATAACAGGACTGCACAGATCTTCAGAGGCTCAGAGGATGTGGGACAAGAAAATGTGATGAACCTAAAACAGCTGTGGAGTACAAAGATCAAGCCAGCCATAAACCTTGTAAAACAGGAAAGTACTGGCAAAATCATGACATCCCCTGTATTAAGTTGCTGTAATGAATGTAGAAGGCAGTCCAAAAATAACCGCTGGTACACTGGGTCTCCGTCATGAAGCAATGAACAGGTGTAAGTCATGAGCTCAGCCGATTCAAAGAGCTGAACTTCCAATGGGATGTGCATTTTGGTATCAGGGAGAATTGGAAAACCCACAAGCAGGCACTTTATTTGGTTGCTGGGTTGTACAACCTGCCCATCCTGAAGGCACTTGACAAGGCTAAACAACTCAGAAAAGATCAGTTCTTCAGAAAAAACATGGCAAGAGCAACAATTCTGCTGCTTTGGCCAGAACTTGGAATCCAAATTCAAGGCTCCTCCTAATGACTTTTCAATTGCTTCATTAAGAGTCTTTAAAATGTCACCGTCACAAAAAGGAGAGCACTTCACTTTTGGCAGTTTCTTTCCCTCTAAAATATGCCATGAATGACACTCGAGATTGGAAGCTGTCCCTTCTAAAAGAGAACTTTGCCCAGGATGATATGCAACATGTTCTTCGGCCCAACTATTAAAGTATCCTTTGGCCACCTTATCTTTCCATGAAAGAGTTTCTAGCATTTTCCTTTCATTATAGGTTTTAAAATATCTGTTCCTCTGCCCAAACCATTTTGTATTTGTACTACAACCAATATTAGATTTTTTTACCAGCCAATTATTTCTGGAAAGAGGCTTTAATTGAAACTTTTGCATGAAATATTGAACAGCACAGTCCCTTAAATTATTCAGTCTTGCTTGTTCCTCCTTTCCCATGCTCTCAAAGAGACGGATGTTCTCAGAAATAGTCTCTAGCTGGTATTTGTGAAAGAACACACAACATTCTTCATGCCTTTTAAGAAAAGACGCAGGAATCACATGATGGGGAAAGAGAGATTTCCTGGTCATTTCAGTTCCAAAGTTCAGCACCATCTTAGATAAGAGAGGCTGGATTACCTCTCTCCCCTTATAGTGGAGGCATACCACATAGACTTCTGAGTTTCCTGCCTTGCTTGTAGCAGGTTTGAAAACATGGACTTGCTCAAAGGAACAGTTGAGCAGGTACATCAGGTTTATGGAACAATGTTCAAACAAAGTAAACATCTTCAGAACAAAAGAGCCACCATTCCCGAGAGTCGTCAGAGCAGTGACTGCTTCACAGTACTGCAAAGAAGAGACTAAAGCTTCTTGTTCACCTGGGTTTCCTTGGCAATCGAAACTCCCATCTGCAGTGATCAAGTGAACAGGGGCCATGTTGCTTATGAAATTCTGAAGTCCAGTCAGATATTTCAAGGTCATGATATCACCAGTGTTATCTGGACCAAAGTACCACCAACGCAAGGTATTTGCAATAAGTCGGTCATCCATAATCATCGTAAGATTGTCATTTGCTTCATGGTATGGATTCAGAGTATTGGCTACCCAACTCCATTCACAAGGGAATCGATGGGATTTTAAGTAGTGATTGAGACTAGCTATAAAAGCTCCAGGAGCTTCGCAAAGGTGTAGAGAATTCAGTTTTCCATTCTGAAAAGCTTCCTGTGGAATAACTGGGAAGCTGCACAAAATTTCATGAAACTTACACCATGCTTGAGTACAAAGTTCAGCGTTCACAGATTTTCTCACATAGGAAATTATTTTTCCAGCTTTATTAGTGGAAGCAGTGTGTTCATGCCACTCATCCAGTTTCTTATCACTCAGTAGGTTTTTTACTTCATTTAGGGAGTTCTTCAAATCAAGGAACACATTAAATTCCGTGTGGTCACAGGTGAAAATCTCACTGGAATCTGGTAACTGCCACTCTTTATTAAGTGGCTTCCCATAAGAAAAGTTCTTAGCAAAGAGTTCAAAAATATCAGCAACAACATCTGGGCTGAATGTCTCAGGACTTGAACCCAGGGTTGGCTTTCTGCACTCACTCATTTTCAAATTAAATTAAAATCTAGAAAAAGAAAACACATAATTAAGTGAATCAAAATTATAAGTGAGTGAAATGTCATCCACAGCAAATCGGATCACACACATGACAAATCGCATAAAATGGAAAGGCTAATGTCATCACACTCAATTATATAAGGAGGCACTTCGGAATAAAGAAAGAGTAAAGGCTTCGATATCCACAGACCAGGGCTCAAATTCCAGCTCTGCCACTTACAGCTTAGTAAGTGGCCTTGGGCAAATTATTTTACATCTTTGAGCCTCAGTTTCTTATTTTAAAAATTGAGGTATCACTTTTTAAATATTTTTTATTGATTTTTAGAGAGAGAGGGAAAGGGACAGAGACACAGAAACATCAACGAGACAACATCATCATCAACTGGCTGCCTCCTGCAAGCCCTCTACTGCAAGCCCGCAACCCGAGCATATGCCCTGGACGGGAATCGAACCAGCGAGCTCTCTTGGTTCATGGGTTGAAGCTCAACCACACCGGCCGGACAAGGTATCATTTTTTAAGAGGAGAATAAAATATGCTAGCATACACAAAGCAAATTCCACAGAAGATTCATCAGTAAATGGCAGCTCTTATTCCCATAGTAATCCCTCTAGCTCCCCTCTGAAGTTCTCCTCTACTCATGGCCGAGATACCACTCACAGAGCCCCAAACACACTTTGACTAAGATTCATCTCCAAACATGACATTTGATCATTTGATCAAGTTCAAACAACTGACTTTTAGCTTTTTTTGTTTTAGCTTCCTCCAAATCTCTTTCTTCCAGGAGAGGATTCTGCACCTGAATCCAATACTGATCCTGATACCAGGCCTTTTTGCTACCACCCACTTATCAACCAAGCAGAATTGCCAAATATGTTCTCTGCCCAGGTCTCACTCTCTTGCTGAGACATGCACTCTGGTGGTATCAAGTCACCTTTACAAGTCACCAACTAACACTCATCACTATACTGTTTACGGTATGTACACTTGACTGGTTAGCCTCCTTCTACTCAACGTTGATACTGACCTATAGTTCACCCTAGCATGTTTCTAAACTATAAATTCCTGCCTCATCTGGTCAGACAGTTCCATGCTCACACTAAAAAACATGATTTCTTCTTGCCATTAAAATTAAAACGCTTCGATAGAAAAACTTTAAAGTGAAGAATATCTTTACTGAATACAAATCACAAATAGTCACCCTACATTCTGTGTTCTAACACTGCCTGAGAAACCAAAAACATCTGTCCACCTGAGAGGGAAAGGGACATAAGAGAAAAAAGCATGGCTTAATGACATAGTGCTGGAGAAGTTCTAAATTTCAGCAGATAGAGCACTGAGTATTACCTGGTACAGCTGGCCCTTAAACACTGGGTTGGAACTGCACAAGTCCGTTTACATGTGGGGGGGTTTTCTATCAATACTATAAATATATTTTCTTTTATTATTTTCTTACTATTTCTTCTCTAGCCTACTTTATTGTAGAAATACAATATATAATACATAAAATATACAAAATAAGTGTTAACTGCTTATGTTATAGTAAGGCTTCCATTCAACAAGTATTATTAGTAGTTCAGTTTTTTGGGGGGTCAAGGGTCAACTGTACTTGTTAGCACGATGTCAATGAACAGATAATTTAGTTCATGAGTTCGGCATTTATTTAGTATATCCAATGCATTCTACACAAATTTTCAAAAAGAACCTAAACTTGTTAAATATGAAAAAATTGACAATCACCATCCCACAAAAAGTCAATGCTTCATGATTAAAATGGAAAATAAAGGTGAGCTAGCGCCACAATACATACAGTAATATCCAGAAGACTAATCTATTAGCATTTACTTTCACTTTTCTTTCTGCAGTGTGCTTACTCATTTATCATCCCAAGTTTAGAACAGGGCTTAGTACACTAAAGCACTCAATAAGTTACGTTTAAAAAAAAAAAAAAGAATGGATATTTAGCACAAAAGGCACTCCTCTGATTAGATTCTGAATATAAATCATAATAATGCACTTCACCTTCACTCCAGCACATCAATGTATGACCAAAAAAGCATGTGGTTTAAATAATATAAAGAACAAGTAAGTGTTCCTCTATCCCTCTCATCAAGCGCTCTCTGGAGAGCTTTGTGGCATCATAATTCTGCCTGAAGGGTCAGTATTACCATTCTTATTTTGCAGACTCCAGCAGGAAGTCGTGTACTCCCTGCCCAAAACCGCAAAAGGAAGACTTGCCAAGTTCTTGGACCTAAGACAAAACTCACATGAATTCATCAACAGTTGTTACCCCTCCAATTAACACGAAGTTTTAGAAGTGTTTCTGCCAACAACTCCTCCGGCCAGCAATAGTGAAAGTAATCGCTACTGCGGATCCAGCGCTTCACTCTGGGCCAGGGGCACCCTCGCTCTTCCTTCAGCTGGTGGAGTGAGTCCCAAGCTCCATTTAGGTGACCTGTCCCTGACCTGGGGGAACCACAGTCCCAGCCCCGGCCTCACCCGGTGGAATATCAAGGACGGCCCGAGCGTGGAACCCTGGCCTGGATTACCTTCGCTCACGCCCACCTCTGCCCTGAGTCTAGAGAGGCGGCGCTTCACACGCTCTCCTCACTCCAGGGGGCCATCCTCCACTTCCGCTCCTTCCGGGTCTACGGACACCCCCACGGCGGGGGGAAGGAGGTGAGGCGCCGGGAGGCCGGGAAGGAGGCCCTAAAGGAGGCTCAGACCCGCCTCCAGACGCCTGGAGCGGAAACCCACCTCCAGGCCCACGCCCCCACCGAACGCCCGCCGACGGCGGCCCGAGGGCGCCCCCCACTCACGTACACAGACTGCGCACGCGCCTCAGGGCCTGGATGACGTCACACGTCAACGTTACGCACGCCGGCGATTCTCGCGGTGCGGAGGCCCCGGTTTGCTAGTTTTTGCCTCTCCTCGGGCTACAATGGCGGGAAGCTCCAGCCTCTTTCCCCACAGCGTCTATGGCAACGAATGCTGCGCGCGCAAACAGAGCGCCCTTTGGTCCCGCCCCCTCGGTAAAGAGGGCGGGGCAAACCCGTCCGGACACGTTGGCTCCGCCCACCTGGCCCCGGACCCCAGAGGCTTTCTGCAGAAGTTAGTTTAGTACAGGTTGAGTTAATACTGGTGTCTTTTAGACAATATGAGATTAAAAGCCAAACTGGGGAAACTGCTAGATAATACTGTTATTATTTTGTTAAATTTTTTATTGCTTTTATTTTGAAATGCTTTATCCTTCAAATGAAGCTGTACCATCATATAGTCGATATGTATGCATATGTTTATAAATCAATAAGAAAAAGACAACTTCAGGAAAAATGGGCAAAGATGTGAACAGGCCATCCAAAATAGGAATAGCCAATAAGAACAAATAGTCAATAAGAACATATAAAGGTGTTTAAAAAGGACATACAAAATATTTTTAAAAAAGAATTGGAAATGAAAACAATGTTTTCACCCAATTTAGCAAAGATTTTAAATAATCGATAATAACCATAGTTGGTGAGGATATGAAGAAACAATTTTAAATACTGTAGTGGGAGTAAAAATTGTTATAAACCTTACAGAAGGCAAACTTTTAAATGGCCTTACATTTTAATCCAGCAATTCTCACACCTAGCAATTTATCTTTAGTAAACAACTGGCACTCACTTTGAACAAAATGTTTATTTCAGCACCTTAATATCAACAATAAAAAATTGGAAACTCTAAATGTCTACTTTAAGGTAATTAATTAAATTCTAATGGTAGGTACATCCATATAATGGAATACTATGCAGTCATTAATAGCCTATATGCATCAACAGTATTGTGTAAAAATAGGAGACTATAGAACTGTGTGTAGAGTTTGAACCATCTTATGTAAATTTTAAATATGTAAAATATAATTTTACAAGTCTTCCAGGACATGCATCTATGAAGAGGGAAAAAAATGTCTTTTCAAAAAATGGTGCTAGGTCATTTGGAAATCCACATAAAAAAAACTTTATTTGAACTCTTACCTCACATCATAAACAAAAATACAGTTCACTTGGATTGTCAATCTATACTTTAAAAGTCAAATAATTACTCTTTTAGCAGAAAACACCTTTGTGACCTAGAAGCAGGCAAAAAGTTTATAACAGGGAAGAAATAGCACTAATAAAAGAAAAATACATAAATTGAGCTATGTTAAAATTAAGAACATCTATTGATCATTGAGAGTGAAAGGCAACCTATAAGTGGGAGAAGATATCCTATACAATAAAAGGGTAATATGGAAATTGACCCTAACAGCGGAATGACCGGTCGCTATGACACACACTGACCACCAGGGGCAGATGCTCAATCCAAGAGCTGCCCCCTGGTGGTCAGTGCACTCCCACAGAGGGAGCGCTGCACAGCCAGAAGCTGGCTCGTGGCTGGCCCGTGCAGTGGTGGTGGCAGGAGCCTCTCCCGCCTCCACAGCAGCGTTAAGGATGTCCAACTAGCGGCTTGGGCCTGCTCCCTCCATTGTCAGACATCCCTCAAGGGCTCCTGGGCTGCCAGAGGGATGTCTCACTGCCAGCTTAGGCCCAATCCCCTGGGGAGCAGACCTAAGCCATCAGTCAGACATCCCCTGAGCAGTCCCGGACTGCGAGAGGGCATAGGCTGGGCTGAGGGACCCCCCTGAGTGCACAAATTTTTGTGCACTGTACCTCTAGTTTATAATAATGTACATATGTATGACAAAAGACTTGTATCCAGAGTACATAACTCCACAAGTGAAAAAACTCCTACAAGAAAATAAATTTTCCCAATGGAAACACTTCAAAAAAATGAGATCCAAAAGGCTGATAAAATATGAAAAGATGTTCAACTTTATTAGTCTTTGGGGAAATGTAAATTAAACCCATAATGAGATACACAATAGACTGGCTAAGATGAAAAAGATGAAAGATATTAGTGTTGTAGAGTATGAGGAGCAACTGATTGGTAGCTGATTGGAAGAAAAAGGTATTCCAAGATCTTCCAAATTCACAGGTTTGTTGCCCCCCCCCTTTTTTTTCAATTCTTTTGAATGAATAGAATTAGTATCTGAAACTTTAAAGAGTTGAAAGAACACAACCAAACCCTGCATTAATATATTTGCAATTCGGATAAAAATGCATTCTGTGAATGCATTTTGTATCAACTTTTACTTACATATTTTTTAAATATATTTTTATTGATTTCAGGGAGGAAGGGAGAGAGAGATAGGAACATCAATGATGAGAGAGAATCATTGATTGGCTGCCTCCTGCACACCCCCTACTGGGGATTGAGGCCGCAACCTGGGCATGTGCCCTGGACCGGAATCGAACCTGAGACCCTTCAGTCTGCAGGCTGACGCTCCATCCACTGAGCTAAACTAGCTAGGGTTCACTTACATAGTATCTGAGTGGAAGCTAGCTACAATTATTCTTTCCAGTTCCTGAATGTTCTTTATACTCAACTAGCATGACAATGAGAACGTTAGCAGCATACAGAAATTAAAACAACCTGCTCGCTCCTCAGCCTCTGCTCTGATCATATTTCTCTGTCAAGCAAACAGAAACTCAACTGCTTCTGTGGTCATTTATCACCAGTCTACTTGCTGAGTCCCTAATTTACATCTTCAGACAGATTCTGTGAGATGACAATGTGCAAATTGTAGTTCCAAAAACCCAGAGGGAGTTTTCTTGGGTGACGGAAATGTTAAGTATCCTGACAGGGGATTTAGGGTAGAGATATGTGTGTATGTCAAAACTCATTAAAAGATATAATTAACATTTGAGCATTTCATTCAAAATAAATTTTACCTTCAAAAAAAGAACCTTAAACAAATATTGAACTCTGTGCACAATGAAGTGTAGAAGACAAGTATATTGATGTGTGCACCTTACTTTGAAAAGCATCATACATAAAATGCATTGATGGATGGATAGAGGGGATGGATCAATGATAAAGTAACCGCAAAATGTTCATAACTGTAGAATCTAGGTGGTGAACACGTGGCTGTTCGCTATGTAATTCAGCTTTTCTCTGTTGAAATTTTTCACAGTAAAATATTGGGGGGAAATAGAGATTCATATCACAAAAGGCAAGAATGGAATCTCTCCGGTTAAACATAACATACATACATACATACAATGTGTATGTAGTATTTCCCGCTAACAAGGAAACAGAGCCTCTGAGAGGGCTTTACGTGAAGAGCATTGAACTTGCTGGAGGCCAAGTGAAAGTTCTCGTGGCCCACGCGACCCACTTACCTGAGTTAGTGGTCACCATCAGGCTTGGTTTTGACCGTTACACAATCTCAAATTTTTCCTATTCTTTGGCACATAGTGTTCCACTTACTCTCTTCTTGCCACGTAGAATGCATCATTGTTCAAAGGCAGGAAACTAAGAAAACACCAATGTTGAAGTTTCAGAAGTCAACCAAGGTTATCAACCTGATAATAATTCTTTCAGTTTCCCTCCTGATAATCTTCACCAGATCTTTAAAATGCATTTTGATGAAAATTCTCATACAGCACTTTAAGGTGTTAAAAACAATGTTATAAAACACACACACACACACCAATGGTATAGCCCGGCCAGCGTGGCTCAGTGGTTGAGCGTTGACCAATGAACCAGGGGGTCAGAATTCGATTCCTGGTCAGAGCATATGCCCAGGTCTTGGACTCGTTCCCCAGCGTGGAGGATGCAGAAGGCAGCCGATCAATGATTCTCTCTCATCATTGATGTTTCTATCCCTCTCTCACTTTCTCTTCCTTTGTTTCTAAAAATCAATTTTAAAAAACATATTAAAAAAAGAAGATATAGTAAAAATGATAACTAACTTGTCTATTCAACTATTGGGTAGAGCATCTACATTGTGGCATTTGTGGGAAAATGCTTGAAAACAGCAGCCTGAAATCTCTTTTCATACTGTTTACAGACTAAGCAAAAATTATTAATACAAATAATTTAATTTTTAGAATAATTGCAAGAATTCTAAACATCAGGTCATGAAAGCAGTTCTCGTCTATTTTTGGTCCTGTAACACACAGTTACTAGTTAACTTCATTCTGCATCTTAAGATACATTCAGGACTCAATATGAAATTTCTTTCTTAAAATTTATTTTCTAGCAATTCATGTTTTTTCTTGCATAGTTAATCTAAAGTTAATGAAGCAGAGTCACTGACTAAATGGGGAAAAGTCAAAATGTATTTTTATGTTATAAATATCCTTAAAGATTATAGTTAAAATAAACTTTTAAAACAAGATTGATAATACAAGCATTAATAATATGCCAGCCTAAAATATATGTTTTTTTTACTTTAAATCACTTCTTTTTTTTCTCCCAGGTTAAAATGACCAAAATAAAAAAAAATTTTAAATTTAAGAGTTTAAGGGAGAATGAATATTACTGTGAGATGAGTCCAGATATTTTTTTTTAAAAAAGGTTAAGAAACACTGACATGTGGAATAGAATACAATACACGGCCCATCCTTGAAGCATTAATCATTTCATTGCAGGCACAAGATGCTTAAAAATAAATAAGATTACATAACTAAGGGCTATGTTGTGTGATACAGATTAAATGTGGTAGGAATCTAGAAAAGGGGGAAATTAGTGGGAAAAAGATGAGGGAAAGAGACTTTAATTTTTGTCTTAACAGGTTTATGTTATTTAGGGAG